TTAAGAATAAATAATGACACCTAAAAGGGAAAGAAATATAAATTTCTAAAAATGATCTTTAGTTCAAAAAGGTGCTTCTCTCAAAAAGAGAATATGATTCCACAAACAGATAAGGACATTAATTCCATATAACTTACCCAGGATAAACACACAGTGTGATACAACCACTGACAACTAACCAAGAAAAGAAACAAACAAGGTAAGTCATGAACCAACAATGCACGGATAGTATTTATACGGACAAATTCATACAGAATTTTATTGGCATGTGGCATGCTGATTCTTGTTTCATTTAAACCCTACACTGTCTTTGAACTCCTAAGTTGAAAATTGTTATCCAAAACTATAAAACACACATTTAAAAAAGCACGATTCAGTAATGCTGTAAAACTATCAATAAAAATGAAGCTTTTTTATTGAATGCAAGCAATAACAGAAATGTTAACTGCAAGAATTCTGAATAAAACATAGGTATGTTATTATAAAAGGATTCTCGATATGACAGTAGTTTTAAACTAAGTCCGGGCACTCAAGAAAAGCAAACATTTGAAGCATTAGTATGTGTTATGTGCCACAAATTATGCTCAGAAAATTCATTACACTTAATCATAAAATGTTCTAATAAAAATTTTATGGATGAGCTTTGAAAGGACATTAGAGAATTTGAGAGATATTCCCACTTTTACAAAGAATGCCAAGGCTGTAATTCATCCTTTAGAAGCAACATCATGAACAAACATAAAAACAGACCACGATTGTTGTAAAATATGCTGAGTATCACTGCTACATAAAATAAACATTTAGATGTAAATTATACCACAAACATTTAAGATAATTATTTCAAGTAGCACTCCCCATATCACATCTTCAGGTGTGGTCTCCTCCTGGACCATTACACCTCACCTGTGTCATCTGCTTTACTCATTGGCACCTACCTGGATGTAAGGCTCTTTTCTCTTCACATCCCAGGGCTCTCTCTTGGCTCCAAAAAGGTGAAAAGGTATCACTTAGATATAACAAGACTCATTTATTTAAAAAAATAGAAACATGAGTTTTGTTGAATTCTGTAATTTTCAACCCAGTATTATCCTCAACAGAGAAGAACATTGTAGAATGCTAGCAAATGGTTTCCCCAAATAATGTTATTTGATGACTTTGAACGGAATGTTTTTATGGCAGTTATACATGCTAGTAGAACACAAAGAATGGCAACGACAATCCTTTTTACACATTTACTAGAAACCAGAGTATTATAGGTTAATGCAAACAAACAAAAAAAGAGAACAACAAAGTAATTTATGAGACCTAACATATTTTTTCTCTTTCATGAGAGTGTTTGGCCAAATGTCCAGTAAATGGAAGAAACAAGGTTTTAAACAATGTTATCTGAGTTCGTGCAGGTCTACAAACACAGATGTATATAGTGATGTTTAAAGCAATGTTCTGTAGGGACCAAGAGTAGGCTGCCCCCAAGATGGACACTTTAGCATGGACATTCTTTGGGCTAACGGTAACTGATACCCTGACTTAAGAGTAACTTTTTACCCTCCCTTAACTTTGTAGAAGGATCTAACTCGGGGGTCTTTCACAGAATATGGGTGATTAGTAGTGACAAATTTTATCTGAGTGACCCACCTGTGATGTGGCAAACATCTAATTACCGAACATCTACTCTTCTCATTGCCTGGTGAAGTGCATTTTTCCACTCGAAAATCCCCAGTTCTCCTCCTCCTCAGTTCAGGAAAACATAAATGCCTCCTTTTGCCTGACTGCCTTTGGGATCTCCATGCCTGTGAAGGCTCCCTACACACAGAAAATTTAAGTTGCTCTTTCGTGACAATCTATCTCATTGGATTCTTAGTCCAGCTAGAAGGACCTTAAAAGGGACAGAAATTCAAGCTCCCTGACAGAATCTACACAAAGTTGGTTTCACAAAGCCGGCACTGATCTTGTCAGTTCAGATGAGAGAAAGCACACCACAGGTCATATGTCCCCAGGCACAGCTGTCGCAGACAAGGGACATGTAGCCTAGGCTCAAGACATAGGAATGTGACCCCCCTAGCTTACAAGTGGCTAATCAGCACTACGCTACAGTGTAATTATGGGATACACCTCATTAAACCTCTCAGATAAAGAAGAAAGATATTTTTCTGATTCAAAGTGTTTTCAGATCAAGTATACCTCTAGGTTACAAGGTGAAGGGGCACCAGAAGTTAGCAAGGACATCTGCTAACATGGCCTCCTGGGTCTATGAGTTTTCTTCTCTGTTTTTTCCAGTTTCATCTTGGGCCACAAAATTACACCACTTCTATTATTTGTGAAGAGTTTACGACAATACAATTGTCCAAATTCATCTTACCCTAACAATAAGGCAATGAAAGGCGGAATTCTATGTAACACAGCAATTTCAAATCTGCTTAAATCCAAAGAGATTTTTACCACACAATTTGATTTTCACATCAATAAAATATTAGACATAAACAAAGCACATCTAGTGGAAACAAGCCACAATAAATGAAAGTGTAGACATTGCTCGGTCGCTAAAGAAAGCCCTTGACATTTCCAGTTTCACACCGTCGAATTAATCATTCTTGCTGCTTTAAAAACACGAATCAGGGGCGCCTTGGTGGCTCAGTCGGGTAAGCATCTGCCTTTGGCTCAGGTCATGATCCCAGGACACGGGGATCCAGCCCTGAGTTAGCTCCCAGCTCAGTGGGGAGCCTGCTTCTCCCTCCCCTCCCTGACTAACTCTTGTTCTCTCTTGCTCACTCTTCTCTCTCTCTCAAATAAATAAATAATCTAACTTGATTACAAAATAGTCTAAGAAAAAAAACACTTGGCCTGATTATTTACGTAACTGCAGGTAGAACGGAGGTTGAGCTAGAGACACTTTAAAAACAGGTTTGCAGGAACATCTCATGAGGAATCTCTAAACTGAACTTTTTAAAAGAAGATTTTATTTATTTATTTGAGAGAGAGAAAGAGAATGAGAGAGATGGAGCATGAGAGGGGAGAGGTCAGAGGGAGAAGCAGACTCTCCTCTGAGCAGGGAGCCCGATGTGGGACTCGATCCTGGGACTCCAGGATTAAGACCTGAGCCGAAGGCAGCTGCTTAACCAACTGAGCCACCCAGGAGCCCTCTAAACTGAACTTTTAATAGCATCTCCAGGTCAGAGTCCATGCCATATACTTGCCACCAGACCTTATGAACAGTAACTACAGATTTCAGTGACTTCCTCTCTTCGTGAAGTCCCCTAAATATCCTGAGTATCCTGCACCTGCTGGAAGTAATCGTCCTTGCTCATATGGTAAAGCAGGCTGGTATTTCCCAAGGGGGCCCTCTTTGCCCCATAAAGTCAGTCTTAGTCCGCTACATCTGTCTCGTCATAGCTGAGTCTGTGCAGTTCTTTCTCAGCTATGACGTTCCAGGGCAAGCCTTGGTCATATAACCAGTGTTTCTATTTGTGTCTTGTCATCATGAGAACAGATTCTGGTTGAAGTTGAACAAATGTACAGACAGGCATTAAAATATAAAAGCAGTTACTGAGACTCTCTGAATTCTGGAGGCATCAGGGAGCAAGATAAACGGTGCAATTTGCTTACAAAGGTGTATTTTGTGCAACTGCAGCAAGTCAGTGAACTTAAGGGACAAAATTTCGTAAAGCTGTAAAAACCAAAATATTTTTTGAAAGGGTTTATTTAAATTCCAGTGAGTTAACATGCGTTGTCATATGTGTTTCAGGTGTACAACAGTGACTGAACAATTCCGTACAACCCCCGTGCTCAATACAACAAATGCCCCTCTTCATTCCCATCACTCGTCAGCTCATCTCCTATCCATCTCCACTCTGGTAACCACCCGTTTCTTCTCTGTAATTAAGAGTCTATTTCTTGATCTGCCCGCCTCCTTTTCTTTCTCCTTTGCTTGTTTGTTTCTTACATTCCACATACGAGTGAAACCACCTGGTATTTGTCCTTCTCTGACTTCTTCCGGTTAGCGTAATACTCTAGCTCCATCCATGTCATTGCAAATGGCAAGATTTCATTCCGTTTTAACGCTGAGTAATATTCCGTTCTAGATATACACACCCCATCTCTTTATCCGTTGTCAGTGAACACCTGCACCAGACTGAAGCAGAAATGCTCACTGCACTGACTGTTGTACCGAGAAATCCATGGCAACAGACAGAGCCAGAGCATGGGATGACCCCCATCATCCACTCAGTAAAGGGAGGAAGGTCCACACAGCAGTATACCATCTTCCATGAAGGCCACCCACCTACACTGGATCTGAACTGTGTTGAGGTTATACACCTGGGATACTAGCGCTTTTGCAAACCACAGCACACGCCTTGCTGATCCTGCCTATTCCACTGTGCAGAAGGCACCTTCGCCTCCAACATCTACTCTGCCATGTGCCATTTTGAAGCTATGCTCCAAATGACTGCATCATCCAATACCCTTCCTCCATCCTCCGCCGTGATCTAGGCCAGGGCAAACACAGTCAACACAACAGCATCTGGTCCTCACTAACAGAGGAATTCAATTCAATTGTGAAGATAAGATAGGACTTCCCTACTCCTCAGAAACCCACCACACGGGCGGATTCCTTCATTCCATTCCATGTACTCATCAGACGACCCCACCAAGAGATGCCTGTGCCTTTCGAGGGACTAAAGGGAGCCACGTTGAGTTCCCTACCCACACTGAAACGAGTTAATTACATTTTTTTAAATAGGTCTTAACTTTTCTAAGGGCAGTGCCACCACCCTCTTTCACTTACATTCGCATCCCACAACCAGGGCTAAATTTCTGAAATGATACCCATCGGCCTTACTCGTCTCTAATGGCAATTAAGAGGTCAGTGAGGACACTCTCACCACAACGCAGGCAAATAAGAACGTTTGAGATGCCTGTGTAGGTGGAGATAAAACTGGGGATAAACAGAAATGGGGATCTGTAGATGACTAGGAAAATAAACAGGTGTAAGTTGTTTTTTCTAATTCCAGGGAGTCAGTTGGGCAACCCAGGAACGGCATCCTCTCTCCACATGCAGAATTCATGCCAGTTCTTCATCCTCTGTACTTTCTCTCTCTTAACTAGGGCTACAGTATCACTCCTACATACCAACCACCATTGTACATGTCCGTTTACTTTATAGAAACATGAAAACAACATCCACACATATGAAGTGGGGCACATACCTTTATTAGGGGCCAAGGTAGAGTGCTTTAGAGTCCCTGGGGAAGTCCAGAGAGCCTTTCAAACTGAAGTAGGTTTAAGTAAGCTCAGTGGGAGTCTTCTCTGAAGGACACATAAGGGGAAGGTCGTGGGAGACAGTGGTTGCTCAGAAAGGTGGACTGGGAATGTCATATGAGAAGGACATTAACTTCTGACTCTGCAGCTTGTTATGTAGGGAATGCACTAGTAAGATCGCCTTGTGTCATTTAAAGTCCCCTGCAAAACTCCTGCCTACACGAAATGTATGCTAAGTAGCACTGTCATGGAGTACTTCAGTTAGTCGATCAGTGAGACCCATATACCATCTATAATATATCCGTTCTATTACCCCACTGGTCCCAAGGAGGAGAAAATGATACGATAAACTAAGGGGAAAACAATCACGCATTAGCTACACATTAAGGCCACTGAGAAAATGGATTACTAGATATAGTTCCACTCTGTTGCCAAAAAGGTGATAGATACAATCAGTTATCTACAACCTTATATAAAATGACATTGGTTAACATTGGTAGTCAGATAACACTTCACTCGTTACATATCCATGTTAACATGATAAAAACCATTATGTTTCATTAATTAAAAAATATTAAGTTCACAACAGACTAAGTTATGCATTTCAATCCCCTCTATAATCCTTACTCAAAATACAGAATTTAAGCATTAAAAAGCATTCAAGTGCTGATATAATGCTGTGGAAGTAGTGATCTTAGTAATTTTCAGATGTGAGATCATTTGCAACTAATGTGGATGTATGCCGTATCAGGGAAAAGTTACATGTCCTCTTTATGATGTCTGTGAGGATTTCTTCCTTTCAACCACATCCACCAATATTCTCTAACTATTGCTATCGTGAGGATACGTCAGTATTTTATTGGATTGCCACCACTTCTGCCTCTAATACCAGTTGCTAAAATATTTTATTTATAACATTCAGAAAATCCTTCAGTTTTAATAATGAAGATGATGTTCCGAACATCTTTTCCATGACAACTGTCATTAAAGTTATAACCACAAACAATATGTCCATTTAGATTTTCTTCATATATTGTATATTATACTGTCCATCTTCCATGGATAATTAGATATGTGTGAGTCCCACCTAATGAAGGAGAAATCTCATCTTTGATGAAGCAATAATCAGTCACATAATTTCACACATACTAAAAATAAACGTATTCTCTGAAGCAACTTGAGGGTAAGTATACACTAATATTTGCTAGACATAAATATCAGATAGCGCCCATGTAAAAAAAATATTGAAGTTAATTAGAACTATGCAAAAATCTATCCACTTAATCTTTTGAAGCATAACAGGGCAGACATTTTTGTAACAGTTTAACTTGGTTATTACTCCTTATCATGAATATTCTGATGTAATGTCAGAACAGACTGACTGCTGCAGTGCTTTCTACTTGACTTCTGTGACATTTACTGATATCTAATGTTCGGTTACATATATTTCTAAATATTTAGATCTTTCAAATTACTTTCTTTTATGCACTCACGGGAGTTTGCTAAAGTGTATATTTAAAATGAAGGTCTTTCCTCATTCATTAAGTTTGTAGGGTCTGAGTCTAGTGTCAATTTTCGGATATTAAGGATTGAATTCCAATTAAAGGCACTGCAAATTTCTCTATATTTTACAGCTTCTATGCTGTATGAGAACTATGATGTTTAGTGAGTTGAGAGTTCCAGCCAGAGGCCTGACACATTCCTTTACCTTTGTAATGTTTCCCCCCAGTATGAACTCTGATGCTGAGTAAGGGTTGAGCAATCCTAAAAAAGTTTTACCACATTCTTTACATTTCTAAGTTTTTTTCTCCAATATGAATTCTCTGATGTTCAATAAAGCTTGACTTCTGATTAAAGGGCTTGCCAAATTCATTATGTTTGCAAAACCTTTTCCAGTATACATTCTCTGATCAAGTCAGACTTTAGCATTGCTTAAAGGCCTTAACACGTTCTTTATTTTGGTTAGGATTCCTTCAAGTATGAATTCTGTGATGTCTAGTCAGGTGTGAGTGCTGGATAAAGGTGTCACCACATTCTTTACATATGTAAGGTTTCTCTCCACTATGAATTCTGTGATGCCGAGTCAGGTGTGAGTGCCGGTTAAAGGCCTGGCCACATTCTTTACATATATAAGGTTTCTCTCCAGTATGAATTCTGTGATGTTCAGTAAGCTTTGATTGCTGGTTAAAGGCCTTACCACATTCTTGACATTGGTAAGGTTTCTCTCCACTGTGAATTCTGTGATGTCGAGTCAGGTGTGAGTGACGGTTAAAGGCCTGACCACATTCTTTACATATGTAAGGTTTCTCTCCAGTATGAATTCTGAGATGTTCAGTAAGCTTTGAGTGCTGGTTAAAGGCCTGGCCACATTCTTTACATATGTAAGGTTTCTCTCCACTATGAATTCTGTGATGTCGAGTAAGGTTAGAGTGCTGGTTAAAGGACTGACCACATTCTTTACATATGTAAGGTTTTTCACCGCTATGAATTCTGTGATGTTGAGTAAGGCTTGAGTGATGGTTAAAGGCCTGGCCACATTCTTTACATTGGTAAGGTTTCTCTCCAGTATGAATTCTGTGATGCTGAATAAGGTTTGAGTGCTGGTTAAAGGCCTTTCCACATTCTTCACATTGGTAAGGTTTCTCTCCAGTATGAATTCTTTGATGTCGAGTAAGCATTGAGTGCTGGTTAAAGGCCTTTCCACATTCTTCACATTGGTAAGGTTTCTCTCCAGGATGAATTCTGTCATGTTGATTAAGGTGTGAATTGTGGATAAAGACCTTGCTACATTCTTCACATTTGTAAGGTGTCTCTCCAGTACGCATTGGCTGATGTTGAGATAGTGTTGTGTGCCGGTCAAAGGCTTTACCACATTCCTCACAAATGTAAGTTTTCTGTCCAGTAGTGACTGTGTTATGTATGTTTAGTCCTGATGATTGGCTCAACATGTTTCCTGTTTTATTACATCTGTGTAAATTTTTTTCCATGTGAATTATCTGATAATCACCCACACTGGAGGACTGGTTAACAGATTTCCCACATTCATTGTATTTACAAGGATTCTCTCCCATAGGGATATTCTTATGAATAATCAGGTTGGAGCTTTGGTAAGAGACTTCCACACATTTATCACATTCATAATGATTCTCTGGAAAATGAGTCCTCACATGTTTATTAACATTTGAACCCTCGTTAAATTTGTTCTCAGATTCACCACACTGAGCAATGTTCTGGTCATCTTGTAGTGTTGACTCCTCTGTGAAGGACCTCTCCAATGGATCCCAATGAGCACTTTGTTCTTCATTTTTAAATCTCTGATTTTCAGAAATATTTGACTCAGTCAATCCAATCCTACTTTCAAAATGGTTCAAATAATTATTTTCAGCATGAACTAAGCAACTTTCCAGATTTTCCAAATTTTCATTCTCCAAATGTGTATGTTTGACCATTTGATTTGAGCCCTTGCTTATAGAAAGACACTGCTTTGCAGAAGTAGCAGACTTAAGAAGGGATGTTTTCCAAAGTGTTTTATATCCTTCACCATTTTGGGCAGTCAGATTCATATTACGGACCGTAGTCTCAGTTTGGTTATGTCCTTCATGATATCTTTGATGCTCTTCACTTTCCCCATCATTTTTCCAGTCTATCATAAAGTGTAAATTCTCAAGGGCACTATGTTTATATCTACCCACTGCCACGTTTTGGAAAGAAGCTTCTATGCACAGCTTTGGCAGGAAACTCTGGGTGCCATGTGAAGATACAGCTGAAAGATATCGAATAAGAGAAAAGTAAAATCATTCCACTTACTATTCTCAGATGAATATAATGAAAGCTTCTAATATGCAAAATTAAAATCAATCACAGAACTTCAGCAATATGGCTGAGAAAGAATCATCAGGACTTCATTCCTCCAAGGAGACATAAACTTGCAGACAATGTACAGACCACAAAGGCTATCACACAGTTCCAAAGTATAATGCTGAAGCACAGATCATGATCCTGTATCTCAAAAAACCAGGAAAAGTGCCACTGACCCCAAAATTAGCAGAAGGAAGCAAATTTAAACTTAAAATAGAAACCAACAAAAGAGGAGATAGCAAAAACAGGAAAACATCAACAATAGGAAGATTGCATTTTCAGAAAAGATCAACAAAATCGATATACTTTTTACTAAATAAAGAATGGAGGAGAAAATACTAAGTAAAATCAGAAGTGAAGAAGTGAAAGCAGGCACAATATAACCGATACCCTAGAAATAAAAACAATTATAAGAGGTGATGATGGATAATTATATGACCACAAAGAGGGATCAAAAAAACTTGTGTAAATCTCAAAACGTATATAACATACCTGACTCCATTATGGAGAAATAATTTGAAAAAATAAAAATATCAAATCATCTACTATTAAGTAGATTGAAAAAGTAATAATAATTCAAAAAACAAAAAAACAACCTCCCAACAAAGAAAGTCCTGTACCAGATAAATTCACTGGATAATTCAAACATTTAAAGAGAAAGTACTTTAAATCTCCTCCAACATTTCCAAGGAGTGAAGCGAAAGGAAACTATCAAGCAATCTCTATAACACCAGCTTTACCAAGTTATCAAAGCCAAGGAAGACACCATGAACAGAGAAGACCAGAAACTACTACCTATGAGGAGTAGTTATTCTAAGTCCACAATAAAATAAAGCAAACTGAATCAAAAGCACATTTCACTATTTTACAACATAATCAATTGAGAATTCCTCCTGAAGTTCAGGGTCTTTTTAACATTTGGAAATCTATAAATTTAAGAGTTTGCATTAACAGAACGATGGCCAAACATGACATGTTCGTATTAACTGATGCAGAACATGAGTTTCATGATTAAAATCACTCAAGAGCAGGAACAGAAGGAAACCACCTCAGTATAACACAGGCCATATAGGTGCTAAAAGCTGAAACCTAACGCATTCAATAGTAAAAGACTGAATGCTTCTCCTGTATGATCAGAAACGAGGTAATGGAGTGACGTCTGCACTTCCATTCAACATAGGAATGGAATTCCTTAAGGAATGCCTATTTTTATTTGTATGCGATTTTACTGTTTGGTCATCACTTGTATTATTTATTCCTGCTAATTTTCCACAGTAGCCTTTCAAATTTCAATTCTTTAATGCTACAAATGCCTGATTAAAGAAAAAAAAGGGTTCAAATAAACAAGGTAACGTTACACTACAAGGAAATAGAAAAAGAAGAAACAAACATCAAATTTAGTAGAGGAAGGAAATAACAATGAAAAATCAAACATAAATAAAGCAGATCAGAATAAAAAGTAATTTAACACTGAAAGTCTCTTTCAAAATTCCAATGCCCTTTTTTTTGGCAGATCAAAACCCTTCTTAACATTCATGTGGCTGTCACAGTATAACATCCCCAGAATAATTTTCAAACTGAAGAGTACGTTGGAGGCACTACACTCCCTGATTTAAAACATAGTACAAAGCTATAGTTATCACAATAATGCACCACAAACATAGATACAGAGATAGCTAACAAAAATGTAGAGACGAGCTATACCTGTCCTTATCCAATGTTAATGTGAAGTGAAGATCCTGTCAAAACTTATATTCTGGGGCGCCTGGGTGGCTCAGTGGGTTAAGCCGCTGCCTTCGGCTCAGGTCATGATCTCGGGGTCCTGGGATCGAGTCCCACATCGGGCTCTCTGCTCAGCAGGGAGCCTGCTTCCCTTCCCCTCTCTCTGTCTGCCTCTCTGCCTGCCTGTGATCTCTGTCTGTCAAATAAATAAATAAAAATCTTTTTTTTTTAAGATTTTTATTTATTTATTTGAGAGAGAGACAGTGAGACAGAGCATGAGCGAGGAGAAGGTCAGAGGGAAAAGCAGACTCCCCATGGAGCTGGGAGCCCGATGTGGGACTCGATCCCAGGACTCCAGGATCATGACCTGAGCCGAAGGCAGTCATCCAACCAACTGAGCCACCCAGGCGTCCCATAAATAAAAAATCTTTAAAAAACAAACAAACAAAAAAAAACTTATATTCTGATTTGGATTTCTAGGTGGGATCTGAGTTTCCACATTTCTCATGAGCTTGTAAGTGATGCCAGTATCTTAGTTCACGTGCCACACTTTTATATTCCAAAAATAAAAAGGATGACTTTGAACGTAAAGAATATTGTGGAAATTACAACTTCTTTTTTTTTTTTAAGATTTTTCATTTATTTATTTGACAGACAGAGATCACAAGTAAGCAGAGAGGCAGGCAGAGAGAGAGGAGGAAGCAGGCTCCCCACGGATCAGAGAGCCCGATGCGGGGCTTGATCCCAGAACCCTGGGATTATGACCCCAGCCAAAGGCAGAGGCCTCAACCCACTGAGCCACCCAGGCGCCCCTGGAAATTACAACTTCT